TTCAAATGCGTTCGAAATCGTTTATACAACAACAAACATTTAAGGGTACCTACTATATAGATATATTTTTTAATTTGATTAAATTAATAATCACACATTTTTCTTAGCTTCGAACAGATACAAAACAAATTGCTTGATATTATTTCAAAGAAGTGTATAAAGCAGACATACAACATCCTGGAAATTTAAGGTTAATTCCAAGAATAACTACACAGCACCTTGAGTTAAAATCTATGTCTAAAATGCGTGTCCGCCTATGTACTCAGGTATATATTAACTTATGAATGTATAGTTTTTAACACCTATACAATAATACATTTAAAACTAATAACAAATGTATGTACAATTTGAATATTGATAACTATTATCTATATTCAATAATATTAGGTATTCAGCATGAGTACGGCAAAAGTCATGAAGTATTATAAATCGAAAGGTTATCTTATGCTCAAGGGATCAGAAGAAACTACAAATTTTATTGAGTTTTGGATCAATCTATTTGATAATCTTAACCGCACCCTACCATGACAAGGGCTGAGGTTAAATGATGATGAAGGGTTTCAGGTAAATAATTAATATTTTATATTCTTGAAGCATACCTATTAGATTTTTATATGTTTATAAAGTAATATTAGTAAAACAATATATGGTTGTTATGTTTTAGGTTTTTAGAGATGCTTTAATTTATATTGACTCTTGGGAGGATCAAATGGTATCTGGTAAAATTGGTCCTGAAAAATTTTTTACCAATCAAACTGCCCAAGGACTCAGAGTCACAATAAGTTCTACAATTGATTTATCTTCATATCTATTGAAATCATGTGGATATAATAATGTTTTAACAGGCAGAATGTCCCAGGATCCACTTGAAGTAATCAATAATAAAACATTAACTATACAAATAATTTACTTTTTATAATACTTTTTTTAGAAATTTTTTGGAATTGTAAGACAATAATGTGGCCCTAATGATCATCCAACTACTCCCACTTTTCTTCATTCATATAAAATCTTGTCTGTTTACTCCTTATTTGTTTGACCTTCATATAAGTATTACAATATAAGATTTTGGTTTTTGGTGTAGCTCTAAAACAAATGATTGTAGATACTTGAAATTTTCACTGGTTGTTTATATTATCATTTTCCTTACACGATAAAATTTATTATTAATATTATTTGGATTAATTTTGAACTGTTTAAGGACATTTTCGTTTTCCAATTTTGTTAGGTTTTTTTTGTCTATGAATGTCAATAAAGGCTGGGGGGCATTAATGAGTTAATAAGTTAAAGTTAAGTTAAAAAGTTAATTTATTTTTAACTAAGTTAATTAACGAGTTACTTTTTTTCTTATGTTATTCAGTAACTTACGAGTTAATTAATTTTATTGCCATGTTAAGTTAATTTTTTTCCTAAGCCACAGGTTTAAGATTAATTCAATTTTGTAAAAATTAATTTTATAAAAAGAGAATCCGAAATATTAAATATATTAATTAGTAAATAATAATTTATAATAATAGTTATTATATTGCATGTTCACAGAAAATATTATATAACTATATTATAGACGGAAATGTTATAAGGGTTACTGTTAATATTACTTTCTTACAATATTGTATAGTAGGTTTAATAACCTAACCTACCTATATTGTTTGAAATTTTAAATAAAAATATATTAACTTAGCTAATAGTGACACATCTCATTCAAAATGGAGTCATTTAAATAAATATTTTAAAGAAACGTCGCGGACCGCAAAAACAGGATGCGGGTCCATGTACAGATAAGTTTATAATTTATATTATAAGTATAACAATTAGTATACAAATAAAAAAATGTACAGGTTAATAAAAAATTAATTTTAAAAAGAAAAAGATTTATTCTTGTTGGCAATGCACAATAAACTATAAATTGACCAGTTACAGAAGTAGTGTAAAACGGTAAAGAGAATAGATAGAGATCATAGACTGGAACTTTAAAGTATTGTGCTTTGAAATGTTTGGTAAATTATTATGGTTTTATAATGGTTATTAAAGTATGAATGTTGAAAAGCTTAGTTTTTGGTTGCATCATTTTACTATTGATATTCATATAATGCAGCTCACTAGGTACTGTCTACTAAAATGGTAAAATACATAAATACATAATAACACAAAATTTGTAAATATTAGGATTACGGGGGGTGTGGGGGGCAGAGCCTTCCACTATTGAATTCAAGTACATTTTCAGATTAACCCCCCCCCCCCTAGAAAATTCATGAGAATGGAATTTGGAAAGACATCACCCATCATGCGCGCCGCGCCATAGAAAAGATAAAAACCCATATACGGAATATGGGGCCAATAGTTAGCGCTAATAGTTCGCCTACGTCACCACTTGAACATGTGATAGGGCTTTGAGCTCCAACCTGAGTAGATAACCGTGATCCGGTGTGATGATGTAACCGTACGCAAATTCAAAGTATCAGTTTAATAGTACAAAATTGGCCAAAGATTTAGTTGCATTAATAACTTCATTTATGAAATTAATAGTTGTTCCTACATATACGTATAATCCTGCCAAATCATTAGATTTCACTTCCCACTTAAATCCCAAACCTTATTTAGGTTATGGATTTGAAAATCAAATAAATGAACATAAAAAATTAAAAAAAATATCAGAAGGTGAAGAAAGGGAATTAAGAGATAGATGTATTGCTTTTGTAACTTATATTATAAAACAATTTCAGCAAAGACTGCCCGATAATATAAGCATGTTGGAAAAAATTGAAATACTATCTCCAAGTAATACATTGAAACAAATAAAAGATAATATTAGTCCAATATGTGAGTTTTTTGGATTTCAATATAAAGAAATTGAAAAAATTGATTTACAGTGGCCCAACATTAATTTATTAAACTGGAAGAATACTAATTCAGCTGTAGAGTTTTGGAGTGAAGTGTATTCATTTCAAGACTCTGCAAGTAATAATCCATTTAAAGAATTAGCCAACTTGGCATTTACTGTTTTATGTATACCTTGGTCCAATGCAGCTTGCGAACGAGTGTTCAGCCAAATGAATTTGATAAAAACAAAGTTAAGGAACAAAATGAAATCCCCAATGCTAATAAGTTTACTTCATATAAGATCTGGGTTAAAGAGGAATAAAAAGTGTTGTCACAATTTTGTATTACCAGATACTGTTATTAAAAAAATTGGTACAAATGATGTATATAATGTTGAAACTGAGTTAAATGACAATGATGATGATAATATTATAAGTTTTGCAGACTTTCAAATTTAATTAAAAATATTATATTATTATATAATATTATAAGCTTTCAAAATATTTTTCAAATTAGTTTGTTTATGTTTCTCTCTTTGTTAGGTTTTTGCTTTTAATAGTTTTTAATCATGGGGAAGTATGCGAAATATTCTAAAAGATATAATGCTGATTGGGAATTATTACCATGTTTTTCTAGTAAGTCATAAACTTTTATGAATGTTAAAAGTAAAATTAGTAAATGTGTCACAAGACACGTTTTTAAAATAATTGTATTCCTATAGAGTGGCTTCAACGTGCATCAGATGAATATGCTGGAGAAGGTGAAGCGTTTTGTAAAATATGTAGAGTGGCCCTAAGAGCACATAAAACTGACCTTATGAAACACACAACAACAATAACACATATCAATAAGGCCAATTCTTTTAATGTTCAAAAGCAGCCCATCTTAGCCACATTTGGTACATATTATTATACTTAATTAGTCAATTAATTTATGTAAATTAGATACCTGGTTTTTGAATATTTATTGTTTTGTTTTTAACTGTATAGGTATTAATGTTAAATCTAATCAACAAAAAATCCGCGTTTTAAAATTAGCAATGTTCATTGCCAATCATTCAGCAATACGTTCTGTAGACCATCTTGGGGAGCTATTAAACCATATTGGCGATAGTCAGTTCAGCAATTTAGAGCTACACCGTACAAAATGTTCCAAATTAATTATGAATGTAATTGCTCCAGTATTTTTAAATGAACTGATAGAAGATATAGGTACCAGTTCATATTCTATCATTATCATTCTTGATGAATACATAGATATCGGCACAAATAAATATATGTCCTTTTGTGTGCGGTATTGTAGCTGTTCAAACTTAGATATCATTACAGACTTCCTAGAGTTTGTTGAAATTGAAAATGTCAACTTCTGAAATTTTAAAGACTGTTTTTCTAGAACGGCCACGGTTTTAAGATACGTGAGACGCTAGAATTTTTTCAATGTTAATGATATAATTCCAGGCAAATCGGTTCATGATATTACACTAATTAATTGTTGGGCTACGTTATCCCAAGTAACAAATGCTGCAGGAGATCATACTTTTAAAGAACTCAGTGAGTTTGCATTACGATTATTGTCATTACCAATTCCAAATGCAGTGGTTGAGAGAATATTTAGTGTAATGAATGCAACAAAAACCAAAGTTAGGAATAGGATTAGCCAATCAATGTTGGTAGCATTGATTAGAATAAAAGTACATAACAGTGTAAAAAAAACAATGTTGTACTTCGTTTATTCCGTCAAAGCAAATGTTAAATTTATTTGAATCAAAAATGTATGAGTCAGACAAAATACTGAAAATTGCCAATTTCGATGATTCTGATGATCTGTTTACAACCATTACAATTTTAAATTCAGTTGAAGAAGATGAGTGAATATTAATATTATTTTGTAATACTATCTGTTATCTGTTACTATTGTTTAATCAAAAAAGTCTTAGTTAAACATTTAATTTTTTTTTGTTGTTAAACAGATCTTGTTTTTTTAATGTTTTGTTAATATAAATGATTTTATAATGTATTTTAATGTTTTTTTTATTTTATAATATATAGGCACAAAGTCCTCACAAAAATGTTAAAATAAAAATCTTGAACATTTATTATGTTAGGCCTATGAAAATGATTAAGTCAAATTCGTAAAACGTGTCAGGATATGGAAAATCTCGGTGTTACAATTTATAAATCAAAAATATATAAATTATATATTAATTATCTAACATACTACCACAGAATATAATAATAACTATACTCTGTCCAGCGAGAGAACGCGCCGCGCACCGACCAAAACTGGTTCCCCCACACAACACTCTGCCATAGGGGAACCGGTTTCGATAGCAAGGAGACGCGGGGAAATGCGCAGAATCGGCGCGTTCTCTCGCTGGACAGAGTATACATTTTAATTTAATTTAGAATCAGCATTTTCTAATATTTGATTATTTTGTCATTTTGATTATAATATAAAAATTGTCTGTTATCTATGGATGTTATATTATGATAACCAGTGTTGCCAAGTTGGTGATTTAGATACCGCTAGATGGCGCTCAAAACCCCACTAAAAATTACACCAACAAATTGGCATTGAATTACACCAAATTACACTAAATTTTATAAAAAATACACTAAATTTCCCACTGAAAAAAAAAAATTATATTTTGAAGATAAAGCTAAAATAATTTTTTATTAGGTAATTTTACAAAATGCTCACTGCCAAGACATTGTGCATAGTACTAACCTACTAGTACAGTAGTACCCACTACTCACTAGTACCAGATAATCCTTATTACCTGTTACATATTCTATAAATTATTATAATAAAAACCCACATTCATAATCAAATATCAATTGTCATTACTTATTTCACTGTATTATTAATTATTAAATATTATAATATATTGGTAAATACCAGTTAATACAATAAATAACATATTATAATTTATAACAATATTAGAATACAAATTAGGAATTATTTTTAAAACACTAAGAAAACATTATATCAATAAATTTAAAAATATTGTTAACAAAAACAAATTAGGAATTTTCTTTTCAAATATCATTGTTCTATACTTAGGATTAATTATTAAATATTATAATATACTGGTAAATACTAGTTAATACAATAAATAACATTTTATAACAATATTAGAATACAAATTAGGAATTATTTTTAAAACACTAAGAAAACATTATATCAATAAATTTAAAAATATTGTTAACAAAAACAAATTAGGAATTTTCTTTTCAAATATCACTGTTTTATACTTAGGATTAATTATTAAATATTATAATATATTGGTAAATACCAGTTAATACAATAAATAACATATTATAATTTATAACAATATTAGAATACAAATTAGGAATTATTTTTAAAACACTAAGAAAACATTATATCAATAAATTTAAAAATATTGTTAACAAAAACAAATTAGGAATTTACTTTTCAAATATCACTGTTTATATTTAAGATTATTTGTAATTAGGAGTCGGGATCATCTAAATCACTATCTTTGTCATCGCTATCTTTACATTCTTTGTCATCACATTTTTCATATGCTTTCATAGTACCTGTAATCAAATAAATGATAATTAATTATAAGTACAATTATAAAATATTCAATTACCTACCAATTTCAAGGAAGACACTGTCAGGAAATTGAAAATTATTGCAACACTTATTTTGTCTGCGTAGGTAACCCAGCACGAATAGACAAAATAGCATTAGGTGTTGTACTTGTTAATTTATTGCGCTGTTTATTCTTAACCAAATTCATTTGGCTAAAGCATCGTTCTACTTCCGCATTAGACCATGGTAGGACTAGAAGGCATTTGGCTAATTTACAAAGTTCATTGAATGGATTAATACCTGAACTATCTGTATAGTCATAAATCTCAGTCCACAAAGATTCAGTGTTCGTTGTTGAACTCCATTGAATTAAATTAAATTTTGTCCACTGTGTTTGAATTTTTGATATATCGTGTGGTTCAAACTTCATTAGTTTTGCCAATGGTTCAATTGAATCTTTTGTAGAATTTAGGCATTTTGTTGGACTTAAAAGTGATACGTCTTTTAATATTTTTATATTATCTGGAAGCCTTTTTGAAGTTCAGTTACCAAGTTAATAATAAAATTTATCATTGTACCACGGAGTATATTTTCTGCTTCTGGCCTAATTTTTAATGATCTGCATTTCTCTTCAAATTCAGATCCAAGATATGGGCGTGGATGTAAATAATCTTTAATAATTACTTCTAAAAGGTTTGCCCTACAATCGGGTGTAACCACTTTACGGGCTAACCCTCCAATACATAAAACTAGATCATCTAGGAGCTTGGTGCGATCTGCAGTATTTGATTGAAATAGTTTGTTGATGTGTTGAGCTTCTGATAAAATTGGTTTTAAAAAAATAAAATATAGCTGGTTATTAACGTCACAGTACATTTTGTACAACGTTTTGGCTTTATAGCACTTATCGGCGTTGCCAGCTTCCTTGAAATGTTCTTTTAAAACTACCTACCCATTGGTCTAGAACTCTAGAAACGGCAACTTCGATTGATAGCCAGCGTGTTGAAGATACACGTACAATTTTTAATGGATCAATTCCATTATTTAAATTATTAAATAATGTTTTGTATGATAATTGCCTACTTGTCGAATGAGCAAACCAATTATATGTTTCGGCAAGAAGGAATTCTAAATAATCTGGCAAGTAATTGGATACAGCAGCAGATACTGCAAGTTGTACTGAATGGCATATGCATCTTACCAATACAAGATGCTGTACTTCTTTTTTCAATAAAGTAAACACACCTGAATGCTGACCAACCATCACACTGGCATTATCGCAACCAATTCCTTGCATATTTAATATATTTAGATCATACATTAAAATACATTCTTTTACTCCTTTAACGACACTAACAGCAGTTCCACTTTCAAGCTCTATTAAACTTAAGAAAGTAGTGACGATAGACTTTTTGCTTTGAGAGTAGTAGATAATACACACTCCCAGCTGTTTAATGACACTTATGTCAGTTGACTCATCTAATAACAGGCTATAAACGCTTGAACCAATATCTTCTTTTAAATTTATTTTAAAATATGGAAATATAATGTTACGTAATATTCCAGTACATTTAGTGCGATGTAACTGGACGTAATCAGCTACATTATTCCCTTTAAAACATAATTTGATGAGCTCTGATAAGTGATCAACAGAAGATATTGCACAATGACTGTTAACAAATAGTGACATATTGGCTTCTAATGTGGCAGATTTAAGTTTTGTGTCATTGGATACTGCTTTAAAAGGTAATTTATTTTGTCGATTACAGGAAAATGGCTCAGAGGATTTTAAATGTTTCTTAGTATGAGCGTGAGCACTTAAATCGGCAAGCCTAGCAGACATAGTGCTTTTACAAAACTTACATTTAACCAACGTTTTCTCTTCAACTTCTTCGATCCAATCCTTTAATAATACATTATTCTTCCACTTTTCTCGAAATTTCTGAGGATATGGTGATTTACGATTCATTTTGAATAGATTCAAATTTGAAAAAAATCAACACGTGTACTGTGTAGTCACGATTATAAAGGACTTATAAGTTATAATCACTTCTTTATAATCGCACAGACTATATGCCTATATGAAAATAGTTTTCATATAGTCTGTGATAATCGTGAGTACAGTACATATAAATATAAGATAACATCGTTATATTTAAATATCGTTCATTCGTTCATAGATTATTATAACCATGATAACCATAAGATAAACTTGATAACAAAGCCATAGATAATAGAGCTTAATGTCCTCAATTTGTTATCAGTTTAGAACAACAAAAAATAAAAATATATAATAAAAATAATATTGGCTATAATATTATAAAAGTATAAAGTCTAATATAAATGTTTGATTTTGAATTACAATTTTTTTTCTTTAGATTTTTACCTTAAATAAACTATTTAACACTATAGTATTTAACATCTTATATTGTTATATTATCATTAATATTTGCCTAGGCTACAGTTTTTGCAATGTTTTGTCATAGAGTGCTATCATCTTCATTGAAAACGGATCATTTAAAACACAGCCAAGTGGTGAAATTATCAAACGTTCGTGGCTTTCATACTCATCAACTCTTGACAAAATATTTTGTACTACCTGCAAAATATTCGGTTTACCAAGAGCTCAACAACTCACAATTGCCTCTGATGGAACTGGAGATTATAGAAATATAAAAATAAATATTGAAAATCATGAAAATTGCAATGACAATATTCAATCTGTTTTGAGTAGAGCATTATACGAAAGTCATAATCGTATTGATGCTCAAATTATCCAAGGTTCTAATATACAAGTTTCTGAAAACAGATAAATACTTAGGGTTATTATTAATTCTTTCATATTTATCGCTCGTCAGAATATTTCAATGGGAGGTCATGATGAATCAACATTTTCAACCAATCAAGGAAACTTTTTGGAATTGATTACAATTTTTTACCAAGTATCATCCAACATTACAGCACCATTTAAATACAATTGAACAGTACAAACGAAATTGACTTACTTTCTTATCACACGATACCCAAAATAAACTATTAAGTATATTATCTAATATTGTTCGTTCAACAATTTTGGGTGAAGTAAAAAAAGATGGTATATTTTCTGTAATTATTGATACTACTACTGACGTATCAAAATTAGAGCAGTTTTGCTTAGTTGTCAGATATGTTTTTGGTGGAGAAGTCTAGGAACGTCTTCTAGCTCTACCAACAACCCAAGATTCATCTGGATTTGGCATGTTTCAGGTTTTTTGTAATATAACTGAAAATAATAAATTAAACTGGAAAGAACATCTTTGTGCTCAAGGATATGATGGCGCTGCATCGATGCAGGGAGTATATTCTGGTTTGAGGAGACATACACAAAACCATAACCCACGAGCGATTTATATATAGTGCTTTGCACATGTACTTAATTTAGTCATTGTAGACAACTGTGACATATGTTTGGAAACAAGGAGTTTTTTTGGCGATGTACAGGCATTAAGTTAATATATGAAAGCTCGCAAAAGAACGGCAAAATGTGGAGAACTACAAAACAAAAATGATCCAAATAAACCTATACGACGTCTCAAACATTTTTCGACAACTAAGAACTTCGATTTTATACAAGCATTAGCACTAGTTGACGATTCCAAGAAAAGGTTGCAAAGTCTTAGAACGGACTAAGAATATTTAAAACTAATTGACGAAACCAAATTGTTTGTGAATAAAAATAACGTACAGGAGACAGAGTTTAAAGTTCTCAGACTAAGACGGCGGAAGGTTATGCCAGGAGAACTTGCTGCGGATGAAGTATGTTTATCACCTACTGAAAGTTATAAAACTGAAGTATACTTTCCTGTCCTTGATGTTATTGTAATGTCCATTTCTACAAGATTCGACCAGTTAAGGGAAATATTAAAAGACTTATATCTATTATCTCCTCAACGAATATTCAAGTATAGTAATGGTATAATCAAGGCATTACCAGATGATGCATTTAATGAAATTGAGGATTGGTTACCTGGAATTAGTACAAATGAATATTTAACTTTAAGTTCATCATTATAGGGTTTACTTGATAGTTGTCCAACACTGCCTAAGCAATTGCATAAGAATATTTCCAAGGAACCAAATGAATGCTCTGAAAGTTCGACCGATAGTGACGGTGAAGAAAATACTTCAATTACATCACAACAAATTATTAAAGTTTTATCTAACTACAATTTAAGTCAAACTTTCCCCAATTTATACTTGGCTTATAAAAGTTTACTAACAATACCTGCCTCATCTGCATCTGCAGAGAGAGCATTTTCAAAGGTAATCTTGCCTTACTAATATAATTATTAATTTTAATTCATTTGAAATATCTACTTTTTTAATATAAAATAGTTTAGACTTTGAAGTAATAGTATTTCATAAGCCTTTTATTTTACAGGTTAAAATAATCAAGTCTAGACAACGTTCAACAATTGGACAAGACCTAGTCTGATGATTCATAGCTGTGAAAGATATATAAGTATCAATTATGAAGAAGCAATTAATGTGTATGCTATGTCATCAGATTTATTAAAAGATAAGATGATATTTAAATAAAATAAATGTGATTATGCCACTTCTGCAAGGTATTAAAAATAATTGTATACATGTGTCTATAAAATTAATTTTTACTTTAATATGTACACGAAAGAAACATAAACTTATATAATTATAATGAAATAATGAAATTAGCCAATGAGGATCCGTTGCTCCTTTAATAGTCTTACTTTTGTATTCATTGTTTAGTTTAATTTTATATTTTATACTTTGTTTTATTATTCATATTATGTATTGTATGATTGTATTGTACACCTAATTATTTCAACCTGGGCTCACGCCCGTTTATTCAATAAATAAATTAATAATATAAGTGATACTCAAGACGCTATGCCATACATGCGAAATAATTACGGAAGGCCTGACTTATTTATTACATTCACTTGCAACCCCAAGTGGGAAGAAATAAAGCAAGAACTCTTTTCTGGACAAAGATATTTTAACCGACATGACTTTATAGCAAGGGTCTTTCATTTAAAAATGTATTAAGAAACTTATTAAACTGTTTACAAAAGAAGAAATTTTCGGAAAAGTCAAATGCCATATGGCCAGTGTCGAGTGGCAAAAACGGGGTTTACCACACTGTCACATGTTATTTTGGCTGGAAAATAAAATACAACCTGACGAAACTGACTAGATTATAGTTGCTGAGCTACCCGATAAAGATACTGATCCGGCGTTGTTTGACATTATGATCTATCAAGAACATGGTACACGGGCCATGTGGGGAATATAATCTAACATCACCGTGTATGAAAAATGGCATATGTTCAAAGAAATATCCACGCCGTTCAGTGTCGGACTGGCTCGAAAAGGCCCAGTCCGCGATTTGGAAAAAAGGGCCCCTAAGGCCCTAATAGGCAAATGGCAAATGTTTTGATTAGCCCGGAAAAAAAGTTACACCACCTGTGACATTAAACATTATAAAGAAAAACACCGATTTAAATTGTGTCATATTTTCATATTTATTTTAATTACAACTTACAAATGTCAATAAGTACATCATTTTTATAATAATACATTTTTTTAAATTAATATTAAAGATATAAAAGGTAGGTAAAGCAAATTGGACAATACATATGAATAACATCTCAAATCAATAACCTTGATAGTTCAGTTGAACTTTTAGCAATAGTATTTACAACAATTTCCTTATCAACAACATAATCTCTTTCAATATTTATCATTAACAAAGCTTCCATAATATCTTGAGAAATTAATGATCTTAATTTAGTTTTAATGTTTTTAACTTTGGAAAATATACGTTCACATGTAACTTGTGTACATGGTAATGTCAAAACAAATTTATATGCCAAGTATATATTATTAAAAGAGCCTGATTGTTGAACAATTTCGTACAAAATATTAAAAGCGCATCTTAAACAATTATTACACGTATTGCATTCCAAACTGTGGTCAATATTTAGTTCTGATTCAGAGTTGGAGTCATTGTCAAAAGATAGATCATTTTTTGAAAATGTATCATTAAAATTTTTAGTTATTGTATCATATTGAATTGCAAATTGTTGGAGTTCAGATGTTAAAACATGTACACTTATTTTTGTCAATTCAGAAAGTTTTAATAGTGAGTTTACAGGTAAACAACTTTTAATATTTTTAAAATTTTTAGGGTCTAAGCAAATACAATCTTTAAGTAATTCTGAATTGCTAACAAATCTTTTTTCCATACTATTAATCATAATATCAAGGATATAATTATATGTTTCAACTTTAAACCTTTTTTCTGTGGAAACGTCAGGTCTTTCATCAGATGCTAATTCACCAGGCATTTTATTTATTTTTGGCACTCTACTTACAGAATTCTTACTAAACTTATTTTTTATTCTAAAATCTATATCATTTAATTCTAATTCCTTATTAATTTTTGTTATAAAATTTTGAACATCAGAAATAAGTTTATTAAATATTTCATCGCCATTATATCTTTTTTCTTTAATTTGATTTAGTAAATTTGTTGTCATATTAAAAGCTATTAGATAATTTAATGAGCGTGATTGTAAAAACTTTGATACAGGAGAACTTATAGTAAAAATATCAAGGTAAATAGCTGCAGTTAAAATAATTTCAAATTTTGACCAATTTTGTAAAAGTGTATGAGCCGTGTATTTAGTTTTTGCATCAAATTTTGATTCACTAGAAGTTATTTCCAATAAAAAATGTAAGAATAACAAAAATCGGGAATCCTTGACATTAGGCTCGTTAAACTGAATTATAGAAGATAATGCCTTGTCCTTACTCCACCACCTAGTTGCTCCAATCAAGTTCAATTTTCTAAGTTTATCATGACTTTTATGGGTTTGTTTAGTTAAATCTGACCATACTTTCATTCTTTTATGAGAATCTAAAAGAAAAGTAGCTGATTGTTGAACTAACCCAAAGAGAAATTCAGCATTTTTGCAACATTCTGATGAATCTACCATAACTAAATTTAATACATGACCCAGGCAGTGAGTATATATACATGAAGGATTCGCATTTTTCTTTAAATGTGATTGCAAGCCATTATAAACACCTTTCATATTAGATGCCCCATCAAAAGAGCAACCTACAATTTTATTCATATCTAAATCTATTTCAGAAAATTCTTTTGCAATTAAATTATACAAACCAATTCCACTAGAATCATAAGCCACAACTAATTTTAAAAGTTTTTCATAAACATTGTTTTTTAAAACATACCTAACACAAATAGCCAGCTGATCTAATACTGCAACATCTTGTGTCGAGTCTACTAAAATACTAAAACTTTGGGCTTCTTTTAATTCATTTACTATTTTCTCTCGTAATAAATTACCAATAACTAAAACAATTTTATTTATAAATGTTTTTGATAGAAATGTTACTAAAGATCCTCTACCACGGGTCTGAGAAAGAGTATTATTATTTTTTTTACCTCCAGCTTTACGTTTTTTACTTAACTCAATACAATTTTTAACATGCATATTCAATACAACATCATAATCTAAGCAATACTAGTTCCAAAAAATTTCCATGATTAATAGTCCTATCCTCTAAGCTATAAGCTGCTTCATCTTTACCACGAAAAGCTAATCCTTGCCTACCAATAAACATTATTATATCAATGAGCCTTTTAATGACCAAACGGTTAAATTCTACTTCTTTGGAATGAATTTCCCTTAAATTAATATTAATACAACTCTCAATATTTTTGTTTAAGTTAGCTTGTAGTAAAGCAGAAACTGCTTCACCGTGTGTTTTTGATTGTTCATGTTTTTTAACTGTACCATAAACATTTTTCGAATTTAAGACTTCTAATCCAGTTACTAAATTGCTAATATTTTCACGTCGTGGACAAAATGTCATACATGTAGTACAAAATATTCTTTTACTATAAGAACAATAAGATAACCATTTGCGCTGAACTTTTTGAGAATCACTTAAAGTCTGATAATACATTTTTTGAGGATCAAATGGAAGTTTATCATTACTTAAAACAAGAGGTTGAATGGGATGACTTTTTAAAAAAGCTAATTTGATTTCTACTGATTCATTACTAGCGGGTCTAATAAAAAATGCTAAGCTACTAGAAGTTAATGTAGATTCAGCTGATATTGAATTTGGCTCCATATCAGAAATACATTCAGTTTCACCTAATAATTGAAAGCACACATTATTAGATTTTATATTAGAATATTTTATAGATTCAAAAATTAAATTTTAATTATAAATTACTTGTGGTAATAGTAGAAGTAGCTAATTTTGAAATTGGGTTCATATCAATGGACAGTGTCGACAATGGTCCAGTAGAAACCATACTTTCGGTTGTATCTTATAAATTAAAACACACATTATTAGAATATTTTATAAATTCAAAAAAATAAATTTTAAATATAAATTACTTGTGGTAATAGTAGAAGTAGCTAATTTTGAAATTGGATTCATATCAATGGACAGTGTCGACAGTGATTCAGTAGAAACCATACTTTCGGTTGTATCTTATAAATGAAAACACACATTATTAGATTTTATATTAGAATATTTTATAGATTCAAAAATTAAATTTTAAATATAAATTACTTGTGCTAATAGTAGAAGTAGCTAATTTTGAAATTGGGTTCATATCAATGGACTGTGATTCAGTAGAAACCATACTTTCGGTTGTATCTTATAATTGAAAACACACTTTATTAGATTTTATATTAGAATATTTTATAAATTCAAAAAATTAAATTTTAAATATAAATTACTTGTAGTAATAGTAGAAGTAGCTAATTTTGAAATTGGGTTCATATCAATGGACTGTGATTCAGTAGAAACCATACTTTCGGTTGTATCTTATAATTGAAAACACACTTTATTAGATTTTATATTAGAATATTTTATAAATTCAAAAAATTAAATTTTAAATATAAATTACTTGTAGTAATAGTAGAAGTAGCTAATTTTGAAATTGGGTTCATATCAATGGACTGTGATTCAGTAGAAACCATACTTTTGGTTGTATCTTATAAATGAAAACACACATTATTAGATTTTATATGTATAACTAGCCCCTGGGCTGCCGGGGGAGACCCCCGACCCCCCCGTGTTTGGTTGTAAGTGAGTAACGCGATGGCGGAGACAATTGTGGTTGAATTATAAAATAACAGGGTTGAAGTCAAAAGTTTAGGATTAGTGATAGGTATTGGAGATAAGGCTTGGCGCATGGGCAGGAATATTTAAAAGTTTGATCGTCTAGCAATCCGTCACAAACATTGTAAATAGATACGATCTCCAGGATCTCTAGTCAGCTGCTTTTGGTTTTGAAATTATTAAAATTGTAGTATCGATATGTGTATTTGATTGTCTAGCTATCAGTCATCAAATCACATAGTTAGGTAATCCGACTGCGTCGTATCGCGGAACAATATGTGAAGCGTATATTACCAGGTATGCAATCCACCGCGATAGTGTAATACTGTATACCGTGCCCCGTTGTAAGTCCTGTTCTGTTTTGTTGACTTTATAAGAAATTAGGAATTGCGAATAATTGTAATGGAATGTCTAGCTATCAATCGTCGCTGTATGGTAATCTATGAGTTATAGGGCATTTGTGTATGGCGGATTGGATACATAACCCGGGAACAATTGCAGTTTAGCTCCCCCGCGCTATTTTGAATTTTTTTTATCGAAACTTATGTAACTTATCGAGTTAAGAACGATGGTGCAATCAAAATTTGTCGCTCTCACTTTGTTTCGAAGTTATGGCCATCCAAAGTTTTTAATTTTCGTTTATATATGCATGCGCGCAACACTACCTACTATATTACCGCGCGGAGGACCTCAACAGTGATTACTTACACAGTTTGCGGCACTCGTCGCTGCGCTACTGGGCGCCGTCGCTGCGCTCTGCAAATAGAAAATATCCCCCGACTTGCTATGCAACACCACCTTAAGTAGGTTACAGGGAAAGTAAAAAGTTATGTCGTAGTATATGCCGTATATGGGCAGTATTAAACAGTTTGCGGCACTCGTCGCTGGCTCCGCAAATCAAAAATATCTCCCGACTTGCTATGCAATACCACCTTAAGTAGGTTACAGGGTAAGTTATTTCGTAATACAGTGTTACACAGTTTAAGTATAAAAACAAATAAAAAAGTCCTCCGGTCGCCAAACTCGAGGTCCTCGTGCGGCATTAGTAGTGTTGCGCGCATGCGTCTAAATCGTTAGCTTTGGGAGGCTATAACTTCAAAATTAAGTGAGAGCGACAAATTTTGATTGCATCATCGTTCTTAACTCGATGAGTTACATAAGTTTCGATAAAAAAAATTCAAAATGGCGAGGGGGAGCTAAATTGCAATTATGCCAATATAAAGTGTGAATTGCAGTAAATAAACTGTAATGATGTATAAGTACACGGGGTGAACAATTAAGCTTTAAATAATAAAAAAAATAGTACTCATTAGTCTATAAAACGCCAAACGTAGTAAAAAAAAAAAATAGGTAGGATAAAAAAAGGTAAGAAAAAAAAAAAGAGTGTAAATTTGTATAGTAGTATACGCAATTCGTAAAAACGAACGTTTCGCACAGACGCTCGTGGAAGAAAGTCGCCCGAAGTCGGAGCGGAGAGCCGCCCAGGTCCACTGAGCTTTTCGCTGTTTACTCTGCCACCACGTGACAGCAGTATTACCAAATGTTACCTATTTAATTTTAATAAGCTTTTTGTCAATGCTCAACGATTTTGACAGACCCGCGGTGCTGGTAATAACATCGGTAAATACCATTACTAAAATGCAAGGCAAAACTAAACAGTGGAATCAATTCTATATTTATTTGCCATCGACCAGTGGAAGTGAGTACTCGTTACTTTATTATATTTTTCACTTTTTTTTTTTTGTTTTTTTTGACAACTTTACTAATGTTAATTTTTCGTTGTAGAATGTTTCATTTTAAAAATTGCAAAGTGACGGTGCAGGCTGCAACCAACCAACCACCATCTTCTGCAATTGTAGCACCTAAAAGTATGTATAAATATTGTCAATTGTCATGACGTATATACGGTAAACGGGAAAAAAGTCCCCGGTAAGAAAGTCCCACGGAAACAAAGTCTCTCATTGTAGAATAAATAAAACGATATTTCCTCTATACTGTTATATACTGGTATATCTATGTTTCTAAATAAATTGGGTTGACAAATCTTATATATTATTATATGTTTAAGATATTATATTATTTTCAATAAATTTAAAATGTATTTAATTATGTATATAAATACTTATCTACAATAATTTTTAATCCTAGAAAGGTATCTATTTAATTTAGTTGATTGTTAATAATTTTCAATACAAATATGTAACATGTCTTACCTATGGGCTATGTACTTAATAAATACATATATGATAAAAGACAGAATTTAAATCAAATAGTAATTTGGAGCCTTTTTTTTTCCGTGAGACTTTTTTACCGGGGACTATTGGAACAAATGCACTTTACCACGCCCCTCACAAATTCCGATTTTTTTAAAAAAAATACGTGTTTTTCAACGCTGATTTCGAAATTGTTTGAATTTTTGTGCGGAAACCATTATTTTGGAAGTTATAGCCTTCCAAAGTTTGCGATTTTACGTTTATACGCATGCACTCAACACCACTATGCATTACCGCCGCGCGGAGCGTGTATTAATTATTTAAATTCTTTTTACGGGGACAATAATTTTAAAGTTGAAATTCAATTTTTTTATTTTATTGTATATTGTACTTATACACAATGTTAAATATTTAATAAACAATATTATCAGCATTTTCTTCATTTGTTTAAAAATTGCACAAAATTGCACATTTTAATTGGTCTTCGTTCTATTTTTATATCAATATCACTATTTTATAACTATTTCATTATAACTAAATTGTATATTATTACAAATATTGTTATATTCAATTATCTTGATGATAATTATATCAGGTAGATAAGCTAATGAGTATATTGTAGTACCTACTATACCTATATACCTCCGCTCCGCAAATCGAAAATATCTCCCGACTTGCTGTGCAACACCTCCCCAAGTGGGTCACAGGGTTCAGAAAATTGCATTTTTGTTGCACCGAGCCACCAATTTGAAAAAACATCGTACAGTGATGCGGTGCTAGCGGCACTCGTCGCTACGCTCCTCGGCGCCGTCGCTCCGCTCCGCAAATCGAAAATATCCCTCGACTTGCTGTGCAACACCTCCCCAAGTGGGTTACAGGGTTAAGAAAATTGCATTTTTGTTGCAGTTATGTTGTATAGTATGGGCAGTGATCCCTTGTTAGCGGCACTCGTCGCTGCGCTTCTCGGCGCCGTCGCTCCGCGCGGTAATATAGTAATGTTGCGCGCATGCGTATAAACGTAAAATCGTTAACTTTGGGAGGCTATAACTTCCAAAATAATGGTTTCCGCACAAAAATTCAAACAGTTTCGAAATCAGCGTTGAAAAACACTTCTTTAAAAAAAAAAAAAAATCGAAATTCGTGAGGGGTGTGGTAAAGTGCATTTTAGTCGGGACTATTTTCCGGGGACTTTTTTCTTACATATAGACCTATAAACTAATGGATTGCGCCTCCCTCACCACCCAACCATCACTGAGTAACGCCAATATAGAGTGAGTAAGAAGGAACATAGTGGGGGAATCTTGATGAAATCATATAAGAGAAAGAGAGGAAAAACATAATGTGGGAAATCATAGACTTACGAAACTAATACTGTATATTGGACCTCTTACTTCTCTCTCTAAGCGTTGTCCATTAGTTTATAGGTCTATGGATAAACATGGTAATGTTGTTCGCTTTTCTTTTTCAGAATGCTACAATTGCAGAAAACCTGGTCACCTGGCCCGCCATTGTAAGTGTATTTTGTGTATATTATATATGTGATCGTAGGCAATGCATCTAAAATATTATTTATTATGCAGGCAGAAGACCAAAAGTTCAAAGGGACCGGTCCTCCCCCCGTCGGCGAGACCGGTCCCCCCCTCGGCGGCGAGATCGGTCTCCGAGAGAGACGACCTCACAGCGGCTGCGGGACTCGGCCCCCCGTCGTTGGGGAATGGTGCCAGAACTTCGCACCAGCACTCGGGCCATGACCGTGGCTCGAGTGCTGTGTCATCTATGGGC